ATCAAGTTTTATCATTATATAGACTGACTTTATCCTACTCATAACCATGTGAAGGATTATTTAAAAATACTGACATTACAATCCATACAATGATTCTTTCTGAAATATTCAATCTGTGGAATGACACAAACAATACAATTTCATCCTTGCCATTAACAGAACAGCTATTCAAGCAGACCAGATGATGAAAGGCAGAAGAAATCATGTTAACAGTTGCAGAATTCAAAGTGCCCTTTTCTCTTAAAAAAATCCCTATTAAATGGAAATTAGAAGCATTTTATTTTCAGATGTCAAAACAGAGGATTAGAGGAAAATGAAATCACTACACTGGGTTATTTACAAGCTTCCAGGCTGAATTTTGGTCAATCACAGACATACATCAAAACATTTCTCTCCTGAAAAAAAAAATTAACTTCAACACAGCAACTTCACACACACAAGTCAAGAAGCAAACAGCTTCCCTAGGATTATCTTCCAGTATCAGGAAAATTACAGCCTTCAACTCATTTAAAACAACAACAGCTTCAAAACAAACCAAGGCATGAGGGCACCTAAACCTCCTTCTCTTCCACACTGTTCTTTATTGCCTCTGTCCCCTGGAAACAGCACATAATAATAATTTGTCCAAAATTACAGCCTTTCAACAAAAAACCACCTCTGTCAATCTTCTGTGAGTAACTGTCCTTCCAAATAAACAGCCATGAACTATCAATCAGTTAAACAAACAAACCAAGCCTTTGAACAGGGTTTGGAGCCTGCAGGGTGGATGGAGGAAGACCACAGCAGTGTTTACTTCATCTGCTCAACTGATGAAAAGGAAGAAATGGCTGTGGAGGCTGGAGAGGACACAGGAATGGAGAAAGGTTTGGAAGCTGGGAAGGAAAAGAAAGCCAGGCTAGTTCAAGTCTCTGCTCCCACCTGCCAAACAAACAGGTTTTCTGTAAGAAAGTCACAAGCAGCTTTTCTGCATCAAGGTCAGAATGAAAAAAAGGAACAGGAAGTTAAATTATTTAAATGACTGCCTGGGTGAAAAGCTCTGAGGATGGTGCAAAGCCAGAGCCAGCAGGACCTGGATTGTCTGTCAGAACCCCCTGGTCAGCTAAGACAGCACAAGCCAGGCCTCTGCACACAAACACTGAGCTCACAACTACCTCTGGGATGGAAGAGGAACAAAACCACCTGGATACAGCCTCATCATTAGCAAACAAATAAATATCATGCTAGTAAAAACGAGGTGACCACAAGCTCCATGTAACAATGGCTCAATGTTCTGAGCAGGCATAAAAAGGTTGACCTACTCTTTGAAATGAAATCCTGTCCTAACAACGCCTGACAACATCCTCTGTTTGGAGCTAACAGGAAAAAGTTCATACTAAATTACAAGATCCACACAGGTAGTGACCAAGAGCTCCAAAACATAATACAGCATTTCAAAAGATGCAACACAAGATAAATATTTATTTTGGAAGCTTTAGTGGCAGGAGATCAAGTTTTTTTCAGGAGCCTGGTCTCCAACTAAAACAGTATTGCACAACTACAAACAGAGCTAAGGACAAACCCTGACTTACACAGGGAATCCTGATGGGCTAAGGACAGGCAGCACAGCCCCAGCTGGAATTTAAACCACATTTTTGTTAATAAAGCCAGCCTGGGAGCTTCACCTCACCTTCTCACCCTTTTCTGTTTCCCATGTCCCACCAGCCCTCAAACTAATCCACAGGAGTTATCTGTGCACAGCTCTCCCAGACACTGGGAAATGTTGTGCATGCACAGCTCCAGAAATGCAGTGCTTCCCTTTATTTAGAGAGTCTGGAATGGGAAACACTGGGCTAATCACAATGTTTGTTTTTCCCCAGCATTGGCTGGGGAGATCTCCCTGGCTGTAGCACTTGGGAAGGATGTAAAGGAGTGTTTGGGAAGGAAATTGTGGCCACCAAAAGGAAAAGTCTGACAAAGTTTACCAAGCCCTGTATCCCATGTAACAACTAAATCCTCGAGTAAAAAAAATTATTTTCTTTCCTTCTTTCTTTCCAGTACAACAACAACCCTTGATAATTTATATTGGAAACTCCAGCAAACTTTGCAGTAATATTACAAAACCAATCAACCCAAGCACTCACAGTTTTAATGTCCCTGCAGAGAAAACAATCATTCCCACTGGGATACCACAGAAAAATGTGTGTTGTCAGCACACAATTCATGCAGGAGGTTGCCAGCACAAATGCTTCAGCTACTGATCAACTGTAAAAGCACACAAAGCAGCAAAGTGCCCTCACACAGGAAGAGAACCACATGTCTGAGCCCCCAAACCCCACTGGGTTTGGAGGGAAGATAAAGACAGCAGCACAGGTGACCCTTTTGGGCAGCCTGATGGAAAACATGAATTTGACTGAGACCTCTGCTCATCCTCGTGATGCCAACACTGGCAATCCTCAGACCAGAGCCCCAGAGCACAATGCAAAGCAGCCTCTCGTTCTTCTGCTGCCCCCTCAGGCTGGAAGAAAACACCAAATCCAAATGAAAGGTCCACAGCAGAGCCAGGAGTGCAGGTGACAGACACCAGGCAGGGGACAGGAGGTGACAGGCACCAGGCTGAGGGCAGGGGACAGGCACCAGGCAGGGGACAGGAGGTGACAGGCACCAGGCAGGGGACAGGAGGTGACAGGCACCAGGCTGAGGGCAGGGGACAGGAACCAGGCAGGGGACAGGAGGTGACAGGCACCAGGCTGAGGGCAGGGACAGGAACCAGGCAGGGGACAGGAGGTGACAGGCACCAGGCAGGGGACAGGCACCAAGCTGAGGGCAGGGGACAGGAGGTGACAGGCACCAGGCTGAGTGCTGCACACACCTGAAGGACAGGGCTGTGCAGAGGGACCTGGGCAAGCTCCAGGAGTGAGCCATGGGAATCCCATGAGGTTTCCCTGCAGGTGGCTCAGGACAGCCCCCAGGACCAATCCAGGCTGAGGGATGAAGAGATCAGGAGCAGCCCCAGAGAGGAGGACCTGGGGGTGCTGTGGGTGAGAGCTGGACACGACCCAGGCAGGAACTCCCGTGCCCTGGGGGATCCCCCAGCGTGGGCAGCAGGAAAGGGGGGGCTCTGCCCCTCTGCCCCACTCAGGTGAGACCCCAGCCCTGGAAGGACCTGGAGCTGCTGGAGAGAGTCCAGAGGAGGCACCAGGAAGATCAGAGGGATGGAGCAGCTCTGCTGGGAGGACAGGCTGAGAGAAATGGGATTGTTCAGCCTGGAAAAAAAGAAGGTTTTGGGGTGACCTCATTGCAGCCTTCCAGTACCTGAAGGGAGCTGACAAGAAAGAGAGAAAGAAACTGTTTGCAAGGGCCTGGAGAGACAGGACAAGGGAGAATGGCTTCCCAATGACAGAGGCAGGATATGGTTGGATAACGAGAAAAATTCTTCCCTGTGGGGGTGGTAAGGCCCTGTGAGGATTTCCCAGGGCAGCTGTGGCTGCCCCTGGATCCCTGGCAGTGCCCAAGGCCAGGTTGGACATTGGGGCTGGGAGCAGCCTGGGACAGTGGAAGGTGTCCCTGCCATGGCAGGGGTGGGACAAGATGAGTTGTAAAGTCCCTTCCAGCACAAACCACTCTGGGATTCTGTGAAATGAACCCTGTATCCACTTCCTTCAGCCTCCAGGGCAGAGGATGTACAGGATTCTGACATGTACAGCTGCAGCATGGAACAAGTTCTTGTTTATAATTTGGCATACTTAATATTTTATGATAAAGCAACCAATGCTATGGAAACATAAACATGTCCAGATATGTTTGTCAGACAAACCTGAGTAGAATTTCATAAGGAAAAACACTGCTCTGGAGCACTTGACACTTTTCAAAGGTCTGTTATAAACAATGGAAGTTTCAGTTTACTTAAAATTATTAAACATCTTTTCTAATGGAAAAGTATTAGGCAACTAAAACCCCCGAGTTCCTCATCAGCTTTCAAGCACAAGGCCCCTGCAGCCTCAAGAAATAAACATTCACATTTCCCAGATATTATTTATGGCTCTAAAAGAGACATCTGCACCAACATGGGACGACATGTTGTGTCAGACACTGCATTTCTTGCTCTACACACTGCATTTGAAGATCTGGCTTTGTAAACACATTTTGTGAAGCCACAAGCTCTGCCTGGTGTCACTCTGCAGCCGGTCACAGGGTGAGCATGGTGCTGCCACCACAGCCACCACCACCCCTACACCTCACAGCACTCAGTGAAACCTCGGCAATGCTTTGCTGCACAAAACTGAGGCACGTGCATAACTCTCACTTTAAGGACAAATAAATACGGGAAAAAACCACCAGAACTGTTCCCTTGCTTGACGAACAGGCAGAGCCACAGGGCTGGGACAGGGACGGCGCTTCTCAATGTCACACTCCACACTAAGTGACACGTGCCAAAGCCCTCAGCGTGTCACGCTGCCTATTGCCTTTAATAAACGCAGCCCCTCGCACACGGAGCGGGGTGAGCAGCTCTGCACGCACCGATCCAAACCCACCGGCGCAGCAAAGTCGAAGGCGGCCGAGGTCGGGCACGCCCGGAGCCGGTGGTGCCTGCCCGCCGCTCATTCATTCCGCCCAGATTTCCTACGGATCGCAGATCTCCCGCGGACACCTCTTACCTTCAGCACAGGGAGTAGCCAGAGCTCAAACACGCCCAGAGCGCGGTAAGCCGGGGCCGGGCCGGGGCGCAGAGCTGGGAGCGGGCCCGCCAGGGGTCCGAGCCCGCGGCCAAGGTCACCTTGCCAGGCCCGGGGCCGCCGGCTCCACCCGACGCCGGAGGCAGCCATGAGGGCGGATCCTCCGGACACCCCGAGCCCCTCCCGGGCTCACAACCGCCCTAAGGCGCACCTGGGGTGGCGGGGGACAGTGGGCCCCGCGCCGCGGGGACACGCTGGCGGCCGCTCTCCCAGGTTCGGGGAGCCCGGGGGGACCACCACCGCTCTTCCCCGGGCCCTCCCGCTCCGCCGTGTCCGTCCCGCCCTTACCCAGCTTGACGGCGGAGTCTGCCACACACCGGTCCCACTTCCTGCCCAGGTCGCCCTCCGACGCCATCTTGCCCGTCCCCTCACCTCCTCCCCCGCGCAACTCTCGCGAGATCAGGTGCTCCACCTATCGCCCGCACCGGCACATCTCGCGAGATTTCGCTGCTGCTGCCATGGTAACCAACTGGAGGGTGTCATGGCCGCCGCGCCCGACCTTGGGCTCGGCCCAAAATCCCCTTTTTCCCCGTAGGATCCGGCCCAAACGCCATTTGCCCTCGTAAGACCGGGCTCGCCACGTCCCCAGCCCGTCCCGGACTCCATCTCTCCGTCTAGAGCTCCCGCTGTGTCCTTGTTAGTCCTCGTCTCCCTCAGGCTATGGCAGCATCCCTCCCTCCTCGCAGGCGCCCGTGTTGGGCCCGCGCCCGGCGCCCCCCTGCCCGCAGGGCTCTCGCCTCATCCATGGTAAGAGCCAGGCTGTGCTGCAGGGCCGGGTTTCTCACTGCAGCGGTGGGTACAGCACTGGACACACACTCCCGTGTAGGTTTTCCCTGTCCTACGTCCTGCACAGCTCCTGCGTCACCTCAGCAGGAGAAGAACGCTCCGGGAGGGTGGCAGAGCTCTGGACAGGTGCTCAGGGAGGGCGGGGAGTCTCCCTCGCTAGAGACATTTCAAACCCACCTGGACGCATTCCTGTGTCACCTGCCCCAGGTGTGCCTGCCTTGGCAGGGAGGTTGAAACGAATGATCTCCAGAAATCCCCTCCAGCCCTAATAATTCTGGGATTTTTACTCTCTGGCCTCGGCTGCTCTTCAGGGCCTGAAATGAGATACAGGTGTGTGACAGCTGGTGTCAATCCCTATCAATGTCCCAGGAAGAGCAATCTGGGCCCTGCACATTCTTGTTTATTTGAGAAGAGAAGCCAAATAATTTCAGCACGATCATTCGGTCCCATTCAAGAAGTTATTCCACACAGTAGGTTGATAATGAGAATCACAAAATTGCAGAATGGTTTGGGTTGGGAGGAATATTAAAGTTCATCCAGTCCCACCCCCTGCCATGGCAGGGACACCTTCCACTGTCCCAGGCTGCTCCCAGCCCTGTCCAGCCTGGCCTTGGGCACTGCCAGGGATCCAGGGGCAGCCACAGCTGCTCTGGGCACCTGTGCCAGGGCCTCAGCACCTTCACAGGGAAGAATTTCCCTCTTAGGTATATTTTTATATTCTTTAATTTCACTCTATAGGTATAAATACCTATATATTTCCTAATATGTACCTATATATTTCCTAATTTTGGGGGAGGAGGTTGTGGGAAGTGTTCCCACTGACCTCTGGGGCTTCAGCCCATCCTGCAGCCTGCTACAGCTTTGTGGAGCCAGCAACAACTCTGGATGCCTCCAAACCTCCTAGAATGAATTCTTGTCTTGCAAATGGTGTGTAGGCTGCTTGGAAGGCATCCTCTAGAAGCCTTGTGAAAAAAACCCAGAGTGTTTGTCAAGTGCTGATGTCCCCATTCACACTGGGAGGCAATTTTTAGCTGTGATTACTTGTTTTGATTTCTTCAAGTTCAATTTTCTTTATGGAGGTGGAGGAGGCTCTGCTGCTTCATAAAACTGGAAATTCTTTTGCAAGTCAATTGCAGACTAAAGCCACAAACAGAAGTAAGAAACTAATGAAGTTGGCAAACATTTCATTAAGTTATTGTTGGTATAGGTCTTTAATTTATCCTAAAAGTACAACTGGTTTTGATCTAGAGTCAGGATGGAAAGGTTTTACTTTTCATTGGTTTGGTTCAATTCCTTCACATATCACAGAACAATCACAATTAACCATTATTTTCTCTTCCTTATAAAATCTAAATGGCTTTTAAAGAACTTTTCTTAAAAGGCACTGTTTAAACTGAGCCCCTGGAGGTTCAGGAGCTTTCCCTGGAGAAGGCAGCCCTTGTTCTGCAAGGGGATCTTCCTTTTCTCTTCCTCCCCCTGCAATTTGCTCAAATCAATCTGCATTGCTGCATAGTTGGTATCCAAAATAGAACCACGCATCAAGTTACTTATAAAAATACCAGCATGATCCAGCAGTTTTTTCCCCAAATAGCTCCAGAAGTGCTTTCTGTAACCACTGCCCCAGCGGTGCCAGCTCCACCCTCCTGTTTCCAAACAGCTCTGGAAAATATCATGAGGGGAAAGATAACTTGAAGCCTCCAAAATAATTATTTAATTTTCATCCTGAAAATTAAATTCCAGAAGGCAGTGTTTAAAACCAACCCAGAAATGTGGTCTTCTGTTGGCAAAAACAAATGCTCAGTGCAGGCCAGTGTAGTCTCACTTCACACTTACTCATTTTCAGGCTGCTGGGCTCCCTGGAAAACGCTGATTTTTGGGATGAAGGAAGCACTGGTGAGCAGCTGCATTGTGAGGCACTTCATAAAGGGTTGTGTTGCTGTGTCTCAATGGATCCTGACAGCCTCACCTCAGGACCTGGTGCATTAAACCCTTTCCAAGGGGATGGAATAGTTCAGGGTAATTGTTTTGAATGTTCAGCTTCCTTTGGAGAAATCACTCTGCTGCTTTTAAATCCCAGAGTCACTGAGTGATCAGAGGGGGCTCTGGAAAATGTTATCCATTAAGGATCTAGAGCACATTCTCTATACCCCTTCCCCACCCCAGGGAAAAATTAAGGCAGGAGGGAATGTGTCCAAAGCCAGGCTTTTCTTTTCATTGCTATAGTTACTTGGCAGTTGGGCCCTTGCAGTGTAATATCAAGTATTTATTATTGTGGGACTCCAAGGTGATGTTTGGAACATGCGGTTTTGAAAAACCTTCCTTGCATTTTACAGCCCAGCATGTGCTGTCCCAGGATTCCTTCCCTCCCTCGTGCTCTCCTCCTTTCTTTCCAGTAAATAAGTGTATGAATAAATGGAGGAAATGAAGCCAGAAAGCTTCAAAATGAGCCCTGTATTTCTCTGGTGGAAGGCACCTTCTAGTTGAAGCAGGTTCAGCCCTTGGATCCCCAGTTTTGTTAACAATACCTGGCTGAGTTGTGTGTGGAATTAAGAACTGCTCATAGGAGTTGGACACTGGCTGGGTTTGCAGCAGAAAGCCATCAGTTAAGGCAGAGGCAGGATTGGGGATCTCAGATGAATTAGTACCATTATTAATCTTCAAATTTGCTGCTTCCTTGGTGTCCTGTGGAAGATCCATGCAGACAGCATGTCCAGTGCTCTGTCCAGCTCTGGGCCCTCACCACAAGAAGGACCTGGAGGGGTGGAGCATGTCCAGGGAAGGGGCTGGAGCCCCAGGAGAGGCTGAGGGAGCTGGGAAGGGGCTCAGCCTGGAGCAAAGGAGGCTCAGGGGGCCCTTGTGGCTCTGCACAGCTCCTGCCAGGAGGGCACAGCCGGGGGGGCCGGGCTGTGCTCCAGGGAACAGGGACAGGAGCAGAGGGAACGGCCTCAGGCTGGGCCAGGGCAGCTCAGGGTGGACATCAGCAGGAATTTCCCCATGGAAAGGGGGCTCAGGCCTTGGAACTGCCCAGGGAGGTTTGGAGTCCCCGTCCCTGGAGGTGTCCAAGGCCTGGACATGGCACTCAGTGCTCTGGGCTGGGGACAAGGTGGGGATTGGTCACAGCTTGCACTGGACTGTCTGGGAGGGCTTTTCCAACCAGAAGGGTTCTGTGGTTCCATTGCTGCACTTGGAGGTGAGGAGCTCCTCTGGAACTGCACCAGCTGGAATTCAAACCCTTTTCAACAGAGCAGACTTCCTTTCAACTGTTACCTCTGGCTTGGCCATAGAGCAGGATGAGTTTTTGTTTCAAAAGTTCCCAGCAAGTTTCCTTTAAACCTTGAACCTTTCCCAGCATGAGAATATCACCTCTTATCCTACTTTTTCAAAGACTCCTAAAGCATCCCTTGTGTCATTTCCCCACTGGATACTAATACACTCTTGGTATCCTCTTTTCCAAAGAATACACATGCAGCTTCTCCCATAGATTTAAATAACATGAATCACCTCCCACACATGTATTTTTTATTTATTTTTCTGCCAAGATCTGCACAGGAAGGCAGCAGTGTAGGAGTTATCTGCTTATAATGGTTGACATAGCCTCAGTGTGGGCCCCCACTCCCTGTTTCCTGTACTTCCAGAACAATTCTTTCATGTTATAGAGAGCTCAGACCTGGGTGGGAACCTCCAGCTCTCAAACTCCATTCTGATGTGTTGGGTTTTCCCTCCAAACATAAGCCACATTCACCAGCAGACACTGATGCTTCTTTCTCTCTTTGAAAACCTTTTAGCTCTCTGAGCAACAACACCAACAAAAAAAAGTCTGAGGAGAAAGAAGCCCCTCCTCAGCAGGACTTTGCCCTGGAATGGGAAAGGTGCCAGCAGCTCCATTAAGCCTCCTGTGCTGTCCTTATTGATTTTCTGTGGGCAGCAGTTGGATGCTGTGGGGTGAGCAATGCTCTGAGGCTGAGCTGACTTCATGAGGAGGGACAGCCTGTGCTGCAGTGGAACATCCCTCGTGTCACACACATCTCTTAGGAAAAATCCTTTCCTTAGGATTTTCCCTCCTGAGAAGCTGAGAGGCCTCAGGAACAAAATGTAACCAATGGTTATCTGCTGCTGTGGAATGCAACAGGTGGAGCTGGGATTGGGCTCATGTGGTTGTTTCTAATTAATGGCCAATCACAGTCGGCTGGCTTGCACTCTCTGTCTGAGACAAAAGCTTTTGTTATGATTCTTTCTTTTTCTATTCTTAGCCAGCCTTCTGAGGAAATCCTTTCTTCTATTCTTTTAGTATAGTTTTAATATAATATATCATAAAATAATAAATCAAGCCTTCTGAAACATGGAGTCAGATCCTCATCTCTTCCCTGGTCCTGGGATCCCTGTGAGCACCATCACACCCTCAGGCTGTGCATGGGGACCAGAGCCACGTTCATGAGCACGCTCTGTGCTGCTGCTGCTGCATTTCCACAGCACTCTGCTTGGATTCTGTGTGCTGCTGCTGCTGCATTTCCACAGCACTCTGCCTGGACTGTGTGTGCTGCTGCTGCTGCATTTCCACAGCACTCTGCCTGGACTGTGTGTGCTGCTGCTGCT